AATAAAATAAAACAACAAAATACATTGTTTTAAAGCTTTGAAGTTTAACACTGATTTCGAAGGGTATAATTTAGTGCCAGTTCCAAATAATAGTCATAACTCATTTTCAGTAATTCACTGACAGTACATTTTTCCTTAAAAATTATCTTTATGGGCTGGGTGGTGGCTCATGCCTGTAATGCTAGCACTCTGGGAGGCCGAGGCGGGCGGATTGCTCAAGGTCAGGAGTTTGAAACCAGCCTGAGCAAGAGCGAGACCCCGTCTCTACTATAACTAGAAAGAAATTAATTGGCCAACTAATATATATATAGAAAAAATTAGCCAGGCATGGTGGCACATGCCTGTAGTCCCAACTACTGGGGAGGCTGAGGCAGCAGGATTGCTTGAGCCCAGGAGTTTGAGGTTGCTGTGAGCTAGGCTGACGCCACGGCACTCACTCTAGCCTGGGCAACAAAGTGACACTCTGTCTGAAAAAAAATTATCTTTATGCTTCTGATGTTTCAGATAACCCAGTATTAAGAACGTTAAACATGCAATATTTATCAGTAAAAACATAAAGTAGCAAAACTACAGTCAATAGACATCATGAGTCAACATTGTCATTTCATTCCTTGATATTACAGACAAATGCCCTTCAATCTTTTGGAAAAATCAAATGCTTAAAACTATTTTTTCTAATATATTTATTTATCTCCATCTTCATTGTCCTAAAATACACCCCTCTGCACATGTTTATAAAATAGGCTTTTTGAAAATGAAACTTTTAATAGACATGTATCCTAAAGGGACTTTAATCCATATGGTTTTCACTTGGCAAGTCATTCAAACTGAACTCATGTGAATACATTAGCTAATGTTGTAAGATGACTGCTAGTTTGTTTTTTTTAAGGCTTTTTAATAAGCAGGAAGATTTGCTGGCCCCAAGGGAAATGAAAACTTATGTTTGGTTTTGATATTGAAATCATGGTGCAGTATTCCAGGCTTGGCTATTCTAAATTTCACAATGATGTTTACACTTTTTGCTGTAATGCTTTATTTTTCTCCAAAATAAATCTTATTATTTCATTTATAATGAAGAGTAACTTCTAGGCCTTTGAATAATTAGGAAGCAATCATAGACATTAGTTCAAAATGGAGAGTAATGATATTTTTGAGTGAAAAATTGAATTAGAAAACTTAAAAAGAGGCACAAGCCAGGCATAGGTATCTAATATTAAATTACTGTGGAAAAAGTCATTCCTAATGGAATATTTTTGTTTCATTATGTGCCCTCCTGGTTCTTGTTAAGCCCAGAAATCTTATGGTGCTGTCAAAATGGGGAAAGATAAAATAGATATTATTTGCTGGAAAAAATAATTAAATTATTTGAGTTAATGAATGAATGGTGCTATAAAACAGAGCATCTGATACATTATTAAATCATTTAAATGGCATAGAACTAGAGTTAGTCCTAGAAGACAATTGTCAAAATTACTTTAGTTACTTTTTTCTTTAGAAAATAGTATTTTTTGCTCTTGCTTTTTCTCTTAAAGCCCAAATAAAACAAAGGGGAGGCTTATGTGCTATTTGATCAGGTATTTGGTTCCATGTCTCTGCTCACAACTCAGTTTCACCATGACTGGTCTGGGATTTGATTTTGCTGTCCTTGCAGACTACTAAATTAGCCTGTTACTATTTCATAGGTACTGAAAGAAGACATTAGACTTTTGCATAAGAGACAAAGAACTTTATTACTCAGGGCATTGCAAATAGCAGGAACGTTAATTAGCATCAGTTTGCATCAGTTCAGCTTGCCCCAAGTCCCATGGGGTGACACGATGGGACCCAGATGGATGGGGCACACACAGGGGGTTTGCGCACAGCTAAGGAACGCTAGGCTCAGAGGATCCACTGCTTTTATAATGATATAGTTGGTTAGCAAACCTGCTCTCCATCTTAGGCTGTAGTATTACCTCTTCCCTGAAGGCTGCTTGCTACAAACATAACCTAGAGAAACGGCTCAGGAAAGAGCAATCAGGAACTTGCATTCTGGAACTTGCATTCTTGCATTCTACCCAGAAAGACATAAGGAAGCACTAGAGAGGGGTGAGAAACCCACAGCCTTAAGGCCACATGTGGCTTTCCAGGCCACTAAGTGCAACCTTTGACTGAATCCAAGTTTTACAGAACAAATCCTTTTATTTGTATTAACACATTTTCCTTCATCTTTTATATTTTGATTTTATTCTTTAGAACGAACATATTTAAAATACCAAAGAATAAAATAAGTTTCAATGAAACAACACTCCGGAGCAAGATGGCTGACCAGAGACACCAGCTCTCAGACTGTCTCAGTAAAAAGGAGAAGCTTTAGATGAAAGAGGAAAAAAATGAACAAACAGACAAACAGAGATCAGGTGTGGGTCTGAGGGAAGAGTGCCAGAACCTTCAGGAGACTCCATGGGAAGAAGTTGCTGAGCAGAATGGGAAGGAGGGAGGTATCGGCAGAGATCAAACTCTGAGAGGCTTAGAGTCCAGTGAGAAGGGCAGGTGGAGTGGTTTGTTTTTCCCTCCCTTGCATCTCAGACTGTTGGTGGGCTCCTGAGCCACTGGAGAGACGTTCTGCCCACATGAGCCCAGAGGCTGCTGTGACCAGTGAGCTGAGAGCTTCTTGTGGACAGGGTACCAGGCAAACAGGCTCAATTAGAAATGAAAACGGAGATATTATAACTGATACCAGAGAAATACAAAATATAATCTGTGGATACAATAAAAATATATGTGCACATAAAACTGGAAAACATTGAGAAAATGGACAAATTCTTGCAAAAACACAACACTCCAAGGCTCAATCAGGAAGAAATAGAGCACCAATTATAAGCAAACAGACCAATTATAAGCAAAGAAATTGAAGCAGCAATAAAAAATCTTCCAAAGAAAAAATTCTCCTGGACCAAATGGTTTCACAGCTGAATTTTATCAGACCTACAAAGAAGAATTGGTACCCATACTGCAGAAATTATTTCATAACATCAAGAAGGAAGGAATTCTTACCAACTCATTCTATAAAGCCAGTACCACCTTGATACCAAAGCCAAGAAAGGACACAACTAAAAGAGAAAACTATAGACCAATATCCCTTATGAATATAGATGTAAGAATCCTCAATAAAATTCTAGCAAACTGAATTCAGCAGCACATCAAAAAAATAATCCACTTTGACCAAGTAGGCTTCATCCCAGGGATTCAAGGATGGTTCAACATATGTAAATCCATAAATGTGGTTCACCACATAAACAGAAGCAAAAACAAGGATCATATGATCATCTCAATAGATGCAGATAAAGCCATTTGGCAAAATTCAGTACCCTTTTATAAAAACTCTTTAAAAAGTAGGCATAGATGGAACATACCTCAAAATTATAAAAGCCATACATGACAAAACCCACAGCCAACATCACACTGAATGGGAAAAAGCTGAGAGCATTCCTACTCAGAACTGGAACAAGATAAGGATGCCCACTGTCACCACTTCTATTCAACATAGTGCTGGAAGTCAAACCCACCACCACTATGACAAGTAGTGTCACTTGTCGAGTCACCAAAATTTGGGTAAATGACATCTTACTTGTTTTTATTAATTGTTCTTAAATAAATGTATGCATAGCTCACATTTATTTCAATGTTTAATGTTAGAAATGTCTTGGGTTTTTATTTAGAAGTTTGGTGATGTTTTGTGACCAGAAATAGGCCACAAGAATGTAACTCTTGTTTATATCAATTAGCCTGTGGTATTGGTTTCATTATTTGTCGTTTTGCTTAAAGTTGCAGTTTTCAAGAACTTATGGATGATATTAAATGAGGACTTCCTAGTCCTCACACAGGCAATGTGTCTGGAAGTCACTTTTGTCTGGTACCACAAGTAACACAAGCTAACTTTCCCAGGCTCTTCTTTATTTAGTGTGTTTTTATGTGAATAAATGTTATGGAAAATATTATGGGAAAATAAAAATGTTCCATTTGTACATTTTTGGTAGATTGTATTCAGATCGAAAACATGAAGATACTTTGGAACATATAAAACCGACTTTTATATTGGACCACCCAGATTCAACAACGTATGATGAGACACTATAAAATAAGAAACTTGTAGGTGACATTGTATGCAGCTGACTATTAGATTCAGATCTAAGATCAGCGGGAAGGAGGAAAATGAAATACTTATTTAAATTTAAAATATCCTGAAACATGCAATAGATGTTATAAGAATTCATTTTCAGGGGAAAATTCACATTCTCATTTTCTCTCCCAGCTCTTCCTCCTCCTCCTCCTCCCCCACCTTCTCTAAATATATATCATAGTTCAGAAAAGTACTTTTCATAGTAGGAGGTTTTTAAAAAAATAAATGTTTAGGCTTTCTTTTATTTCCTCCTCTTAAGGGATTAATTCTGCAGGCTGCAGACAGAAAAAACAATAATTTAACCCACGTTGACTCCCTTTTGTCTGTTTCATTCCACAAGGTGGTAATTCTCAAAACACTTATTTGAGAGAATTTAATCCTCTAGGAGTTGAATTCTCAGAGCTCAGGTTTTAGGATGTCACTCACTGCAAGAAGATGAAAACACCTTCCTATGTCCTCCACTGTTTACAGAATCGTTCGTTAAACGCAAGTTTTCCAATCATACTTTTTTTTTTTTTTTTAGTGCTGGGGTTTATAACGTGTTAGTGCAAGAGAACTTTTGCTCCCCTCCCGTCCCCAGCCCGCCCCCAGTGGGGACACCCCGCGTGGCTGCTTTCCTTTGGCCGCAGGTGGGCCGAGCGAAGCGCGTGACGCAGGAGGGGGCCGGTCCGGGCGGTGCGGAGCGCCCTGCTCCTCCTCGGGGACCGTGCCATTCGCGCAGGACACCGCCGGGCGGCGGGCGGTGGCTCTGCGCGCCCCGGGCCTGCGTCCTTGGCGGCGGCCGCGACCGCCTGGCGCGGTGCACATCCTCAGCGCCACCCGGCGCCCGCCGGCCTCCGCCTGCCTCTTCCAGCTCTTCATGCTGCCCAACTGAACCGAGGAAAATGGGCACCGGGGATTTTATCTGCATTTCCATGACCGCCGGGGCGCCCTGGGGCTTCCGACTGCAAGGTGGCAAGGAGCAGAAGCAGCCCTTACAAGTGGCAAAGGTAGGACCGGGGAGGAGAGGGGTGTCCCTGCTCTGTGCTGGGAGGGACTCAGGGAAACCAACCTGTTGCTAGTGTTTCCGCTGCAGAGGTCTCTTGTGTGAGTTTGATTTTGGTGCTGGCGTCGAATTTTTTCTAGGATGTGGCTTGTTTTCTAAGAAACTTTCCAGAGTAATGCAAAAATCATACATTATGTAATTGCAATTGTTAGAGGGGAGAGTGCGCCATATTCATCAGCTGGAAAAGCCTAGTGAATCATGTTCTTTTGACAACCAGCAAGACACTGGGGAACGTTTCTTGCAGGCGAGGTTAGGACGTTCAGGGGAGCTATTGTTTCACGTCCCTTTGCTTGGCTCTGGCAGGGGGAAAATGCTCAACTCAGCAGAACCGCTTGGCTATTTGGGGGACTCTTATAAGGTGCTGGTGGTCACATTTATTAGGCAGCATTCATAAAAAGGCCAATTTGGGGCAATACTTTTTAAAGTATGATGAAATGTCACACCATCGATTTAAAAGAATACACTTTTTAAGGATTTGACAAATAAATGCAAAAATCCGAGTACTGTATTCCATCACCCAGTAAAGAACTCAAGATAATTTCAAAAATACTCAAAAGACATTGTAACTGAGAGTAACTTTGTAATGCACGTAATAACTTTTTGTGCTTTTGTTGCCGTTTGGTTGCTTATGCTACCAGTTTGCTCAAGGGGATCTGTGCTATTGTGTAACTGGCATTCAACTAAAATAAATTTTAAAAGACATGAAACTAAGCAAATTTTACCTGATTTTAATATTAAATTGCAAATTGTAGTGTTGTATGAAAGAAAACGTGAGAGCATGAGATTAAATCTCTGTCTTATACTTATATTAAAAATGAGTCTAGATCTTTGTGAAATATATGGGCCACTGCTTTTGTATATATTCTTTCCCTTTGGCTTTTACTTTAAAAAAAAATGTTTGATGTCGAAGAAAGGAGTTTCTTTGAAATTTTCTGCTCCCAGGCGTCCATCAGAAAGCGCTTTCATAATGCAATGGTGGAATCCTGCCACCTAGTGAAAATTGCAAACATCAAGAATGAAGCATAAAACAGGAGATGAAAAGCAAGAGTTTTTAAAACTGGAAAGTTCCTCAGAGGTCTCCAGTTCAACCCATTAATTTTAGATGAGGAAAGAGCCCAGAGAGGTTAAATAACCTGCCCGGAGTCTTTAGCTTGGACCTGGCAGAGTGATTAAAGGATCAGGACGGTGATTTTATTAGGTTTCTTTAGGAGTCAATGGCAGGCAACGCCGGATAAAATATGAGTGCCTAATTCAGTGTATATATAATCCGTGACACTGAAGAAGATTTGCTCTGAGTCTAGAATAGCAGTTGGCTGGCTCCAGTTACTGAGATTTGGGTTCTAATTGCAGCTCTGATCTAACTTGCAGCCTGGCCTTAGGCAAAACCCTCAGCCTTCCTGTCTCATCTGCTGTGTGTGTGTGTGTATGAGTGAGTGAGTGAGAGAGAGAGAGAGAGAGAGACTTTTTATCTTTATGTTAAAGAAACAAAAGAGCCTCCTAAAGAAAATGTAAGTTCTAAATTACTGCAGCAATGCCAATTTTTGTTTGTCTAATTTTTTTAGTTGAAGCTATTATATTCAATTTTTTACACTAGCATTATTTGTTTCAGAAAGCTGTTGGAGCAAAAATGCTTGTTGTTTTCTGTGTTCTCAAGGCCGTGACCATGCTAGGATCACTCACTGTATTTCATTTAAAACATTAAGTCAATTCAGTTCTAGTAATGGTCTCTGGTTAAGTTCAAGGTGACATGGATGTTGCTTGGGCGTACACTTTCTCGTCTTGTAAGGATTGGTGACAGCTTAATAGGTGAGTCACCTCCAAGTAGGAGGGTGCATGGAAAGAGCCAGAAAGGTGAAGCAGAGGATGGTTGCTGGCAAATGAAATGCTCACAGTTTTGAAGAACATGCAAAGGATTAACTTGGGAATTGAGGACAGTAAATATTAAAAAAAAAAAAAATTCAGCCAATGCTTGAGCCATGCCTCTTAAAATGGGAATGCCATAAAGCAGTTCTATAGATAATAACAGATTTTGACCTGTGAAATATTTAAGTATTTAGACTTTCCATAATGCTATATAGAATAGAAAATCTAATAGGTTGAAATAGCATAAGAAAAACTAGTCTGGTATTATTAAGGATGATCAGAAATTGAATTAGTTTATAATTCTCAATAAATATCTTTCTAGTGACATGTTTAGTCCCTTTTGAGATATGTTGAGACATTTTTAGTACTTGATTGGTTGGTTGAACTGTACACAAACCCCAAATTTTAGAAATAACTAATAGGAATTATATATATATATATATATAATACATATACATATAATATATTTTTTTTTTTTTGAGACAGAGTCTCACTCTGTTGCCCTGGCTAGAGTCGTGGGCGTCAGCTAGCTCACAAGCAACCCAAACTCCTGGGCTCAAGCAATCCTTCTGCCTCCAGCCTCCCGAGTAGCTGGACTACACAGGCATGTGCCACCATGCCCGGCTAATTTTTTCTATTTTTTGGTAGAGACGGGGTCTTGCTCTTGCTCAGGCTGGTCTCGAACTCCTGAGCTCAAACTATCCGCCCACCTCGGCCTCCTAGAGTGCTAGGATTACAGATATGAGCCACTGCGCCCGGCCTAATAGGAATATTAACAATCAAAACTTTTCATTGACATTGAAGCTCAATGCCAAAAAATTCTGTTTGTTTTAAAAAATAAACAGAATTTTTAAAGGCCCAAATAATCGGTAATGTAGGCCTGATTTTTGAATGTTTATCTGTCTTTTAATTTATATTCTAAATATATGTCACAGGAAGCAAACATTTCTGATGCTGAGTCGTAGGATGATCCTCTGCAGAGTGTATTTTTGAGAGATCATCCACAGGAAAAATTACCCAGACAGAAAACCCCATCGTGTCTGTGCAGACAGCCTTATAAAGAGTGTTAGCACTTTTACTCTACAAAACTTTCTCTTTAGGGACATGCACTGACATAGCTATGTCTTTGCATATACTCTTGGCAAATCACTTTAGAAAATTGTTATATAAAGAAGTGGGCAGAAATTTTTGTTTTATAAATCTTATATACAATTCAAAAATTACTCACATTTGGAAAATAATGAACAAAGAAATGTACAGATTGTTTATCCTTTACACATTGTAATATAGTTGGAAATTTTTCTTCACATTTTATATACCACCATAGTAGTTATTCTCCTATTGAATTTTAATTCCAAGTTTTAAATAATTGCTTATTAAAACCGAGATGACATAATCATTCATTTCATGAGACAGGAATGGATTTAACAATTCTTGTCTATCACTGTACATGCACTCTATAAAGCTTTGAATAACAATGTATTATTTAGGCTAGGCACATTTCAAATAATATAATTCGTATCCCTTAGTGCTATTAGTGAGGTTTCTAAAATGTTTCAAGTAGAATAATTCCAGAAATGTAGATATTTCTAAAGGGGGGAAAGGTTTTTAATGTATATGAATGTGTATATTTGAGAATAAGTGTTTCTTATAGGAAGCTAGTGATATCTCTGTTAGAAAATATGCCTAATCGCTTAATCTTTTGTTGAGTTTTGAGCCCTTTCTAGAAATTTTAAAGACAGGTATATTTGTAGAAGTCAGTGTGTGCTAGGTAAATCTATCATGCAAGTGTTATAAAAAATCCTCATTTTGGAATTGCATGTTTTAAGACAGATCACTGTTGATAGATGACAGTGAGATAGAATATTGATGATGCATGAACTTTGCCACTATCTGGATGTAGCACATGTGTAACTCATATGAATTAAGCCTTTGCCATGTAACAGGAAATGTTCCATGCTTCACAGGTATTATCCCTTTAGAAGTTCCTCAAAACCTAAGAAGTAAACTAGAAAAACATCCTCATTGTAGAGATGAGAAAATTGGGGCACAGAAAGGCTAAGTTGGTTGCCAAAGATGAAGCCACAAAAAATGATGGGATTTGATTTTTATTCTTCATTTTTGGTGAAAAGAGGTGCCTGAGAGGATAAAGGTAGGTTAAAATGGTCCCAAAAGGAAAGATTATTTAAAAAAAAATACCACGGCCTTTGTCCAACCCTGATATAATTGGTCTGGGTTTCTCTATGGGCATCAGCATTTATAAACACTCCAAAGGTAATTTTGACATGTGGTCAAGATTCGCAACCACATCTATAGAAAGTCGAGGCCAAATAAATTATAGTGTTCTTTTGCACAGCATGGTGGCTATAGTTAATAATGATAATATACATTTCAAAATAGCTAAAGGAGAGGATCTAAAAAATGTTCTCACAACAAAGAAATGATACACATTGGAGATGATATATATATATACTAATAGCTTGATCTGATCACGCCACAATGTGTACATGTATCAAAACATCATATTGTACCCCATAAATATATACAACTATCACTTGCCAATCAAAAATAAAATAAAACTTAAAAAATAATGTATATATGAATATATGTTTTATATTATATATATATTTTTTGGATGGTTCATGAAATCATCATCAATCATCTGAGATTCTTTCCTGCTCTGATGTTCTGTGATTGTCATTAAAAGTCAAGTAGAGATTAAAAAAAGGAAAGTTGAGGGCAGATATATGGCCACAGGACTACTGTGAGGTGGCATGATATGTCCCTTTCCCAGCCCAATTAAGAGGAAGAGCAGGGAGAGGCCAAGAATTGTCTGAGTTCTTAGCACTTTGAACAGGTCCTAATTAGTGGTGGGAGGATTTACCCTTTCAGAAGCCAAGATGGGTGGGGGGGGGGGAAGAGGAGGCGTTGGGAAGCCCCAGAGTGATCACTGTAAGGATTAGAGGTGCCTGCAGGAAGGGGAGACTGGCGAGTGTTCCCTGGCAGTTGGTGTCTTTGTCAATGGGCTTGCTGGGCCTGCCTGGTGCCCCTATACCGGGAGCGGGTGGAAGGGGTGGGGGA